ACGCTATGGCCCAGGAGATCTCTACTTTAGAGGCAAATCATACTTGGACTCTTGTTTCTCTACCCCCTGGGAAGTGCACCATCGATTCTAAATGGGTATACAAGACTAAGTTCAAACCGGATGGTAGTATTGAACATTACAAAGCCCGCCTTGTCGCTAAAGGCTATACTCAAGTTGAAGGCATCGACTTTCATGATACCTTTGCCCCTGTTGCTAAATTAGTTACTGTTCGCTGTCTTCTTGCTGTTGCCTCTGTTCGTCGTTGGGCCCTTCACCAGTTGGATGTCACCAATGCCTTTCTTCACGGCGATCTTCATGAGGAAGTCTACATGAAAATCCCTCAAGGCTTTGCTAAAAAAGGGGAGACTCGGGTTTGTCGTCTCCAAAAATCCCTTTATGGTTTAAAACAAGCTTCGCGGAACTGGTACCAAAAGTTCACTCATTCTCTGCTTGAAGCGGGCTTTCGGGAGTCTGCTTCTGACCCCTCGTTATTCCTTTCTTCTACTGCGACCTCCTTCGTGGCCGTTCTCATATATGTTGATGACATTATTGTGACTGGAAATGATTCTCAGAAGATTCTGCAACGTAAACAACATCTTAATTGTCAGTTTCATATCAAGGATCTTGGCCCTCTCAAATATTTTCTTGGCATTGAAGTTGCTTGATCTTCTTGTGGCATCTTCCTCAGTCAGCGCAAATACACTTTGGATATTCTTGATGAAAGTGGTCTTCTTGGTTGTCGGCCTTGTTCTACTCCAATAGAACATCAGCACAAACTTACTCTTGATTCTGGCGATCTCTTTTCTGATCCTGGATGTTATCGTCGTCTCGTGGGTCGCTTACTTTACCTTACTATTAATCGTCCGGACATCAGTTATGATGTGCATATTCTCACCCAGTTCATGCACCAACCACGAGTTCCGCATTATGATGCTGCTCTTCGTATTCTACATTACTTAAAGAATGCACCCGGACAAGGCATTTTACTACCATCTGCCAACTCTCTTAAGTTGCGTGCCTATTGTGATGCTGATTGGGCTGGTTGTTCAACCACTCGTCGGTCCACTACTGGATATATTGTATTTTTGGGCTCCTCACCCATCTCCTGGCGATCCAAGAAACAATCTGTGGTCTTCCGTTCCTCCGCTGAGGCCGAATATCGAGCAATGGCTACCACCGCTAGTGAGATTGTCTGGCTCAACCGTCTCCTTCAGGAACTTTGTGTTCATCAGTCGCGTCCTATTCCCCTCTTTTGTGATAATCGTGCTGCCATTCACATTGCCTCTAATCCAGTTTTTCATTAACGCACGAAACACATTGAGATCGACTGTCATTTCATTCGTCAGCACATCCAGTCAAAACTCCTACTTCCTCATTCTGTTTCTTCTACTTCTCAGTTGGCTGATTTCCTCACCAAGGCATTGGGATGCGATCAGTTCCATTTGATTCTTTCCAAGTTGGGCATTCTGAATCTTCATGCTCCAACTTGAGGGGGAGTATTGGGATATCTTCCTACTTTATAGAGATAAAGATAGGGTTTAATCTTTTCCATATTGATCACGTTGTTATATCGGTCTATATATGACCATCTCTTGTATCATTTTCCTAATATGAAAACATATTCTACCATATTGTTTTACAGGCCTCTAATTGGTCTGCTCCAAAAATTCTGGCCATCCCAAAATCTGATATTTTTGGTTCCATATTGAAATCCAGTAAGACATTGCCAGCTTTCAAGTCTCTGTGGATGATCTTTAATCGTGAATCTCGGTGAAGATACACCATTCCCCGAAGCGTTTACTCCAACCCATCAAAGCTCTTTTTTCTTTATCAGGAATTTGAATATATTGAAAAGGTTCTTCATTTTGTTTTTTCCATATTGTGAAATAGATAGTACAAATAATTAGCCTAGCAAAATTGAGTGAAAAATACCAAAGATGATGTTGTCTAGTCCTTTGTTCGGCAAGTATTCATAGACCAACATTTTCTCCTCTTCTTGGATGCAACATCCCAAAAGCTTAACAAGATTCATGTGTTGGAGTCTAGCAATCAGGGCAGTTTCATTCTTGAATTCTTCTATCCCTTGTCCTGAACTTCTTGATAACCTTTTCACCGCTATTTCTCTGCCATCTTGGAACTGGCCCTGAATCAAATTCCACGGGTAAATAACTTTTCATTTTGCTGAACCAAGCAAATTGAATCTCTAGGAATCAACTGCTAAAAATTTACAGAAAAAGATAACAATGGCAGGAAAGACTCATTTCCATGTTTTACTCAAAGCCAGAGCAGAAAATGATCAACCTTGGAAAACTAATCACCTTAAATACCGAGCCAAAACCGCCTTCTCCAAGTTTATTTCTGAGATCAAAAGAATCAGTCGCGAGAATTATGGTTTTTAGATCAAAGACATATATCTCTCCCTTTCCTCATTTCTTTACTTGGGTGACCCCATACGATGGCCCTGGTTAAAATGAATTCCTGGGAGTCTGCATTTCTGTTTTTGACCTGCATTTGCACAAAGAGCTAATCAGTCCTTGAACTCATCCAGGTAAAAGGGCATCAGTCGGGTTAAAATCTGATTTTTCCATGAAGTTAAAATCTGTTGTTTCTTAGTAATTTTGTTATGAGCAATCTTGTTACCAGGTAAAAGGGTATCAGTCGGGTTGTCGAAACTTTGCCAGATTGGTGGAATTGTACCAGATTCCGACAATTCCATTAAAACAAAATTACCATCATCCCCAAGAACAGCAATCAAAGAACCTGATGAACTTGTGGAATCCGAATCTGTGCTCCAAATGGCCCTCTCGGATTCATCCAAAATAACTAAATTACTACCCTGAATTGTGAGGGATGATGAATAATTATCTTTTACAGGGGATACCCTGTTTGCTACCGAAACTACGGTTTGCTCACTAACTTTCTTGTACCATATTCCGATGTAAAATCTGGAGGAATCCTTACCTGCAGGTGTGAAGAATCCCAGTTCAAAGTTATCATCTTTGGAGATAAGCGTCTGTCACCCGAAAGGGATTGTTTTCCAGAAATGGAGTCTGCCCCATAAGATAATTCAGATTCCAACAACGTGCAAAAACAGAGAAAAGAAAGAATCGATTTGATGCTTCCTTTTCGGTTCATCAAGGTTGCTTCAACAACAATGAAATTGTTTTTTACAGTGATTTTATTATAATTGATTGGTTTTTGAATTCGTTTTGAGAAATGGAGTTTTGCATGATTGGGAAAAAGTTCAGATTTTTTGGGCGTTAAGCTTGGATATTGGCTGCTGTGCGTTGTGCGTGTAAATTTGGTAGAGAATGCAAAAATTCTTCTCCCACTGAATGAATCTCTACTGCTATACAAGAAAGAAGAACAGAGGTTTTTTTGGATTGTTAGTTATGCGATTTAGCTTGCAAAACCTCTGTTACTGATGAAATTTTGACCAGCTTTTCTAAGTTCCTGTTATGAAATGATTACTCTTATTTTTTGAAGTAAGAGTAATAGTATGTTTGTGAATTTTGATCCCAATAGTTATTTAAGGTACTGTTTGATGTCACAAAGATTGCTCCTTGATACTATTGGGATTAGAATTCTGTATCTCTGCTCTAACAAAAGTCCTTTGATTGTTCTGGAAAGATCTTAGAATGTGACAATGGATCACCGGTAGCTCCTTAATGATGTGGAATGGGAAGAATGATCGGTGGATCATAGACAGAATTAATGCAATTGCCATTTTGAGGAACCAAATAAGAGATGTCACAAATAACCTATAACTACTAAGTGATGAAGTTTGTTTCTTTCCACAAAAAAGAAAAAATGTTAAGGAACTTAATTATGAGTTGAATTTTAGGTGATTGCAGAAGATTGCATCATTTCGATGGGCAGTTGAATTAACCACCGGGACTAAAGTTTTTTGTTCCCCTTTTATGTTTTAAGTCCTTAATCTTCATTGCTCCTGGGTAACTTATCCTTTAATATACCTCGGCATTGTAAATTTTGGAAGCTAACTCTTTATCAGTGTTTACAAACTCGCGATCTAGGATTCTACGATCCTAGGTCACTAAATCGATACTGAATCGATTAAACTCGTCTTTTACGGTAGGATCGGAGCAGGATCGTACGGGATCGGATAAGATCGTAGAATCGCATAGGATCGTTCGAGTCCACCGATTCAGCTTCCAAAAAATTTATTGAGCTTGGTTTTCTCCAATTCATGAAAAAAAAAAGCTTTAAAAAGAAGATGAAAAGAGTGATAAAGTTAAAAAAAAAAAATTGAATTCTTTAGAGTTGTTTAGGAGGATTACTCCATCGGAATTGAGAAAAGGATCTCGTAGTTTATATGCTCTGTTTTGTTCTCTTGCCGGGACTCTTCTGCTAAAAGACTCGTGACCTTGAAGGAGAAAAAGAATGGTCAATTGGTCAATGACTCAATTGATGACATAAGCCTTTCTTTAGTTTATGTTTTGTGTTTGGTCCACAACATTTTTCTCTTCTTAATCTTAATCATAATTTTCAATCACTCTAAAATAATCATACATAACTTAATAAGTACTAGTAATTTGTAATTAGAACATCACTTATTCCATTGTCTGTCATATTATTGATTAAATAAAAAATTATAATTATCACCCGTATTTTAGTTAGAAATTAGAATAAATGCATTATACAGCTTTAGAAAAATCTAAAAATTATTGTTGGTAATTATTTATAATGTATAAATTTTTTAAAAAATTTATGATCCTATTTTTTCGATCCTACCGATCCTATTTACGATCCGATCGTATGACTCTATTTCGATTCTGCATAAACTCATGATCCTGCAAACATTGGGTGGAATATCATGAACGTATATTTGACATTTGCATTTTCTGATAAACGTCGAAACTTGTTAATTAGATAATTTAGATGTTATGTATTAATTAATCTGCATGTAGCATTTTTTTTGTTTTTTATGGTAATGTCGAAAACCCATCAGAAATAAGTATATCTATTGCCACTGCAATAAGTTGCAAAACCACAATAGAAAGTAAGTCACGTTTGAGTAACATTATTTACAATGAAAATTCAAACTGGATAGTAATTATTAGACGGAGGGAATATCAATTATCATAATCAATATAATTCCTTGTCCAATCAATCTTGATCACTGGTTGTAGCTAATGAAGCTTTTTCAGAAATCACAACGTTATCTTTACGAAACATAAGATATATAGCGACAATTATGTAAACTGCCATTAAGGGGAATACTACAATGCCGATGAATATCTTCCAAATTTTCGCTAAATTGTGATCGTGAATCAGCCACTGAACAAAGTTTGTGATGAGGTAATAAACGTTGATGCCCATGATTCCCAACCCCAGGATCCAAGAAATCACAATAATCTGCATCACATAGATTAAATTGATTAAAGAACGATGTTATATAAGATATATGCCACGTATATGAGGATCATTACTGCATGTACACTTAAAACTAGAACTGTATGAAGCTTTTAAATTTAGATATCATTGTTCAGCGATTGCGAGTTATTTACATTTTTCATTTTTGGCGTAAATTCAAATATTGGATTTACTTTTCTACATTATGTGAGATATAAAAAGCAAAAAAAGAAACAGTTAACCAAATAGAATGATGGAAAAGTTAATTACTCCGAATAGAATGATAGCAAAGTTAAGTAATTACTCACAGATTTGGAGGATTTATGGTTTCCCATTTTGGCAGAACTGCTACTAAATTTAAGTAAAGGAATCACTGAAAATGGTATTTCAAATGAAAGAATCATCTGCAAAAGTGATAGAATTAATTAAAATAGTTACACAGATGAAATAATATTATGTATCCAAAAAAATGTTTAATTAATCAAACTGAAATTTAATTGAAAATGTAAGAAGTGAAAAGACTAACTGAAGCAATTGAAATGAGTTGACCGGCTCCTGAAGGTCCAGCAATGACTGAGACTATAAGGCTCGGGATGATGGCAATGCACCTTGTTATTATGTTTCTAATCCACACTTTGATTTTAAGATCCAGAAAACCCTGATATTATAATTCACATGTTAAGAAATTGCAAGTTACATTAATTATTAATATAATAATGGTAAAGTAAGTAGAAAAATTAATCAACAGATTGAATATCGCCTCGAAAAATCAAGAAAATTTGTTAGCATTACCTGCATAACATATTGTCCAGCGTATGTGCCTGTAATTGATGAGCTTTGCCCTGATGCCAATAATGCTATTCCGTACAATGTGGAGCTAGTTTTACCGAGCACATTCTAGGTCATAAACAGCAATAAATTATTAAATTAGCAATTCATAATAATTCTCATATGGTCTAACAAATTAGTTTCAAAATTACCTGAAGAAGGAAGGAGGACGAATCGAGTGTAAGATCACTACAATTCTGAATTGCTTCGGGTGAAAGATTTTTCTCTAAGCAGACAGTTCCAGATACTGCTATAACAGCGACATTGATTAGGAAGGCCACAAAGAGTGCAAATCCACTCTCAATTAAGAAGAATCGGCAAGCATCCTGCACGAGAAATTAAAAAATTATCCTATGGTCTACGAATTTCACTAATTGACAAATTGATTTGAATTTCTACAAATACTCATAATTGTGCAGAAATTTCAGAACTTTCTTACATTGATACTTCGTGTTGTATTTGGGACTTTACGGGAGAGCACAAGAGCCGAATGAAGGTAGAGATTATGCCTGTATACAAAGCAAAGGAAAAGTGGTCACAAATAAATGGTACTAATAGATTAATTTTTTTTAAAAAAAAAACTTTTCTTAAAACCGTTCACAATAAAACATTGAAATAACAAATTGAACATTTTTTACAAACGTGTCATATCTTGCCTATCAATATTTAGAGACATGTTAAGATGAATTTGCCCAAGAAAAAAAACTCTTGTTAATGTAACGATTGTTAATGTAAATTTTTTTTTTCAAATTAAAAGGACATTAAAATCTAAGACAAAATCAAAATATCTTATAACAAGGACCGGAGAGAGTATACTATAATTGGATAGAACTAAACATCAAAAAGACCAATAAAGATTTACATAGTTTTTAGTTCAAGGAACTTACGGCATTATGAGTGCACCTAATAAGGCAATGGCATCACCAGTAGCACCATTTCCAGAAAGCTTAGGAATAAACATGCCTTTGAACAACTCCTTTGCTGGCGGCTTCACATATTTCAATTCTCCAAAGAAACATGCAGCCATTATAAACACCAGAAATGTTATTAAGAATTCCAGCTTCCTTACCTATAAACACCAATGCGAAAAAAATCATTATATTTACAAGTAAATATTGGCACGCATTATAACCTCTCCTTCCAGGAAAAAATAAATTTCTTAGTATTTGTTAAACGAAGCTATACAGTTCATGTGGTTATTTCTTATAGGACAAATGAACATCTCGGCATGAGCTCTTAGACTGGTGATAAGGCTCTAACTGGACAAATGAACATCTCGGCATGAGCTCTTGGGCTGGTGATAAGGCTCTAACTAGATCTCCTAAAAATTCAGGGTTCGATTCCCATTCATGATATGTAAGTAGGGTTTTTTACATTTAATTGAGGATGGAATTTTTTTTTTCTTTTGGAAAAAAGGACAAGTGGAATATCTAGTTTCACTGTATGTATATCATCTCTCATCATTAATCCAAAGCGAATAAAAGAAACATTTGACTAATTAATGAACTCACCCCGAATCTTTGAAGTCCAATCAAGATGAGGGTGGAAATTCCAGTGCACAAGACTCCCACCCAAACTGGGATGTGGCACAGCAAGTTAAGAGCAAAAGCCGTGCCAATCACTGTGAAACCATCACACAAACAAACAGTAGTTAATTACACAATTGATCCTATTCTTTTAGGTAAAAAGAAAAAAAAAAAAAAAGGGAAAAGAAACGTAAAAGTGAAAAACATCTTATTTTTATATATAAATAAGGTGTAAATGCAAAAGAATGGGGTAATAATTAACCAGAAATTAACTAATTATTCCACCGATGGAATAGCTGATGGAATAGCTGTTTTTCAAAGAATTATAAGGTGGAAGTTAGTAGAACGTGTTAATTAACTGGAACAGAATAAAGTAACTGGAACAGAATGATTAAAAGAATTGGGGGCGGAGAAACAGAATAACGTACCACCACTAATTAATTAACTGGAGTTAAAAATTTAACAAATATCCTAATGTAACATGTTTTTAAAAAGTTTGGGATGTAAATGGCATGTTCTTAAACTTTGGGATGTTTTGGATGGTGTGGCCCAAACTTTGGGATAAAAAGACCCATTTTCCCGTTTTTCAAATTAAAAAGATGTAGCAAGCTAATCAAATTATAGAGATATAGAAGTAAAATAAGAGTCCTAGTATGCAACATCTTCTAGTAGACTACGTTAACGATTTTATCATGTTATGTATGTGGCATACAACATATTTTATGGGTCATGACATTAGAGCAAGTGAATTTCATAGTGGCCGAGCTACAAATTTCGTAAAGCAAAAGTGAAAAAATGTACAAAGATAGTCAATAACCTCATTACACAATTTTTGGAAGCTGAATGCAAAATTTAACTAACTATATAATTTTAGAAACTTCATTATTGTGTGTGTGTGTGTGTGTGCGTGCTTTTTTTTTTTTTTACTTTTACATTTCTAAAAATTAAGATGAACTCTTTGAAAGTCTAATAGGAAATCAGACTAAGGTTAAATGTGAATATTTGAGTAATGAATTAAGTGATTCAGCCCTTTGAGTAAAAGTCTCGAAACAAAGACTAATTTTAATACCTTCGGGTACATCGGCTGATATGACAGCAATTTCTGCTAATACCCAAAGTGGGTAATTGATAATTTTTGGGTATTCGGCTCTGCATACCTCTGATAGATGTCTCCCTGCCGAAAAAAATAGCATGAATTGTCAAATTTCTAATTTAATTAGCGATAATTAATTGTTTAAATATTGCTAATTAATGTTAACATTGTCTCAGGTACCTGTGCAGACACCAAGATTTGCTGCTAATGATTGCACAATAAGGGCAAATACTAGTCCGACAAGTATCACCCAGAGAAGCTGCATTTGTGGTAAAACAAATATACAATTTACAATTAATTAATAAGGATACAAGAAAATCCTTCATTTGGGGGGTTTTTTCGATTTGGAAATACCTCATATCCGTAGTTTGCTCCAGCTTGTAAATCAGTTTGTACTGCATTATACAAAAGTATGATTCAGCCCACTATCATTTTGTTTTTCCAATACGAAGAAAAGAGGCAAAAAAATAAAATTCCAATATTTCAATTAATTTTAGTTTTAAAATGGAACAAGAACCAGAAGATGCCTATTTTTGAGGAATTTAAGTAAATCTTACAGTTTGCAGGATCAAGATATGCTAAAGAAACAAGAAAACCAGGCCCCATAAACTTGAAGAATTCTCTCCATCCAATTCTCTACAAGAAGAAAACAATTTTAATCAAGTTAGTTAGAACCAGAGATTATAATCACCCGAATTTAAATTCATTGTAAAACTTGTAGCGGGAAAAAAAAAAAGCAAGCTAAAAATTTCATGGCCAGATACCGTCTTAATTAATTCCCGAAATCAAATTGAAAAAAAAAAAAATTCAACATGGAAATAGTTCACTACAACAAATCTTGACAAACTCCATTTGCAGCATATATATATATATATACATATAATAGTTGTGTGAAAGATTCCCAAAATGAAATAACAAGAATTTGTTGATGATACATAATACCTGCTCCACTGGCCTCTGATTTTCAAGATCAACGTCTATGGGAGGTTTAATAACAGTATTTCCACCACCTTCCATTAAAACTGTTCTTCTTCTTTCTTCAAATGTGCCAAAAAAAAATAATAATAATGATGAAAGTGATTGTTAGAATCCTAACACTGAAACGAACGATGTGATTTTTCTGCTTCCTCGTACTTCTTTGTGGTTATTAAATTGGCCAGGTGAAATATACGAGGGTTTTTAAATACGTATATAGTAAGTAAATCAGGTTCCCCAAAATGTGGGGGGTTTTGTTCCAAGGAGTTCTAACTAATTTTTTGTTTGCATGCAGTCATTTCCCACGCTTCAGCTACCTAATTCACACACTCTATTTCGTCAAACTAACGTAATAAAGTACACACAGTCACACAGTCACGCAGTGGCACACTCTTTTACCGATTCTCTGTTACAAACTTGCGCAGTCAAAATTCCGTTAGAAATTCAGACACACTTCGGACACACTCCTAACGTCAAAAAACACACGCATGCACAAACCCCGATTTACTTGGATACCTAATTCACACGCTCTCCAAATTATACTAGTAATTCTCGACGTGGAATTTTTACTAATAATTGTTACTTTTCAATTTATCATTTTTCATGTAGCATTTTTCATGTACATATTTTGCTCACCATATAATTCTCGTATGGTTAATTCGTTTATCATTTATTTTTATTGACCAGCGAATATCTGGCTCATCGACAAATCTACATCCACACACAAATGATCAGAAGCTCCTTTTTTGGTAAGATTAACAGTGGACGTTTTCAATGTTTGATTAGAAAGCGATAGAGCAAACGAACACCTGACAACACCAAGTTTTACCCATTCAGCTTGTAGACATGATTGTGCTTGGAGAGATGCAATTAATCTTCTCCGACCAAAAACAATGTAGGAATAGTTCATTGTCTACAAGCATTCATGACTTTGATGATTTGAATCATCAAGACATCTGCATGTGGTTTTACAGAAATTAAAGCCTGCTGTACTTGAACTTGTGAGCTGTGCGAATTAATGTAGTTCAATTGCTAGAACATTTTTATTTCTTTCGAAATGTATGCCTGATTAATCTTTTTATTAGTTACGAAAATCTTTAGAAAGATAATTTAGTAGATCATGATCGTTATAGGAAAAAAAACAAAAGTTATATTTGAACATTACTGTACAAGTTTTCTGTTATTCTTTTGTCTCAAAATAATTGTCCATATTGAATTTTTATCTTTAGTATAATTTGAACTTAAAATAAAAACTTAAACAAGATGATTATTTCGAAACAAAAGAAGTAATTAAACTAGTGAAATACCGATAAGATGGGAGACTGATTCTGCCACTATCTTTTTTTAAAATTAAGCTTTGAATTAATTCCATGACAAAATATTGATCTTCCAAGCGTATTAATAAGTCCAACAAAAATGGAGGCAACGGCGGCCAAACAAAATTATGTAGTAGGTCGTTGTGGAATTATCAGTCCTTATACATCTTTATTTTTTCGAATTATTGTGAACTAGGAAGTGCATTTGGTGACATAACAATAAAACAGAGAATAGTTGACGATAATTGTTGTGCTCAAACCTTTAATTTACCTAAACATTATTAATAGAGAACCTAGCCAAAAAAAAAAAAAATTATCTACAATAAAAGAAACGCAACCTGAGAATTTTATTGTTAAATTCGGAGAATAGCTCTAATAATATCATGTCACAATCACAATAATTTAAAAGTCTTTGAACGGAAAAATTGACATTCATAACCAAAGTTTTGGGCCCATCGTCAATTTTACCCTATTAATTTTCAGTTAGCTAATTTTGTCCTTACTGTCTGAAATTTTTGTCAATTCCGCCTAATCGACCCAATTTCCGTTAAACTTAACGGATATCCGTTAGTTTTTAACCAAAAATATTCTGATAGTTTCATAAAATTATAAAAATAACCCTAAAAATATATAAAAATAACAAAATAGTCCCTTTTTATTAATTTTTTCCTATTTTATTTTATTTCTCTATATTACTTTTCGTAACCATCAAAATATACTATATGATCTTTAAGAAAATAATAATTTATTTTTAAAATCTATTTTTCATGTGCACACATGTTATTTGGGTTGATGGGTAATTTTGTCATTTTAAATTTTTAAAATTTTAATTTTTTCTTTCTATTCGTCTTTTTTTTTAAGATTCTTTTTGTTATATTTCCTGACTTGTATATATTGATACTAGAATAATTATTAAATTTTAATAATTAATTTACCGTTTTATTTCATAGATTATAAAAGCTTCAACATAAAGAAAATGAGGAAAAAAAACTTAAATTGAAATAAACATGAAAATTAATAATTTATCATTCTTAAAAAGCAAAAAACCCTTTAGAAAAATCTGCAAAGACAAGTCTTTTCTCCTTAACTTCTTCTATTTCATAGGTAAGTTACGAAACATAAATTTACTTGATCTACCTTAAAATGATTATTTTGTTCTTTGTAATAAAAATAATACAAGTCATGCAGTATAATTTAGTAATTATTTTGCTAAAAATATACGTATTTATCTTTTTCATGAAATTCAATAATTGCTTATGTAGTTTAGCAACCGCCAATCGGCCAAAAAAAAAATTATTAAAAAAGAATAAAAATAGTGTTAACCAAATTTACAGAAATGCATCACTGTAGACTAATTAAATTAGCACCTTTTCATGTTTCAAATGATTGTCTAATTTTCATATTATTTTTATTACAACGAACTAAATAATTATTTTAGGCTAGATCAAGTAAAGTTATATTTCGTAATTCACCTATGAATTAGAGGAAGTCTAGGAGGAAAGACTTCTCTTTGCATATTTTCTTATTAAAGATTTTTTTTATTTTTGTTTAGAATGATAAACTATTAATTTTCATGTTTATTTCAACTTGATTTTTTTTCCTCATTTTATTTATGTTAATTTTTTTATAATCTATGAAATAAAAAGGTAATTAATTATTCAAATTTAATAATTATACTAGTATCAATATATACAAGTCAGAAAATATAAGAAAAATAATCTCAAACAATAACGAATAAAAAAAATAAAATTAAAAATGTTTAAAAAATTAAAATAAAAAAATTACCCCTCAACCCAAATCACATGTGTTACACATGAAAAAATAGATTTTGAAAATAAATAATTATTTTTTTAAAGACCCTATAGTATATTTTGATGGTTATGAAAAGTAATAAAAAGAAATAAAATAAAATCAAAAAAATGAATAAAAAGGACTATTTTGTCATTTTTATATTTTTAAGGTTATTTTTACTAATTTTTTGAAACTATCAGGGTATTTTTGGTTAAAAACTAACGGAAATCCGTTAAGTTTAAGGGAAATTGGGTCAATTGGGTAGAATTGACAAAAATTTCAAACAATAAAGATAAAATTAGCTAATCGAAAATCAATAGAGTAGAATTGACGATGAGTCCAAATCTTTAGGTAAGAATACCAATTTTTCGGTCTTTAAACTTCTTTTTTATGTGGGTTGTTAAGATTTGTTCCTGGCCGTCATTTATGTTCGAGTAACATTGATGATAATCACTTAAACCATGATCATACAAACAAAATCAACTGAATTATTTCAGAGTGGCTTAGCTCTCTCGGGTTTAACCATGCAAAAGGTAAAGTTCGTTAATTAATATGAGCATTCACATCATCCTTGAATTACAGTAAAGGATATAACATTTTGTAATTAATGATTGCGCAACTTCTGAGCGTGATCGACAAGGGTTTTGGTCCTTTTGGATGTTAAAATCTATGGAAAACGAGTTTCCATAGCAAAAGGACTCTATATATACTATATTGCAGTGACATAATGCTCTTAAGTAGTCCACCTGTCATTTTTCAGCTATTATAAAAATATATCATCATTAATCATTAGTTACCGAATCTGACTACGAAGGTATAAGTGAATGATCATAGTATAATAGTCGATGGTTCCACCTCAAAACCAATTGATAATGAGGGGAGTAATCAATGGAGTTTATATATTGATACTCAGAATCTCCTAACACCAATGCGAGATATAAACTCTTTAATACTCCTCCGCAAGCCCAACGTATTTTTTGGGTTGGGCTTGTCCTATTTTTTTCAGCCTAGGCACCGCATCACGTCTCAACTTTTTTTTTTGACTTTGTGGAGTCCGAATATCGGCAGACTGGCTCTGATACCATATAGAAGCCTATGAGGTTCCACCTCAAAACCAATTGGCGATGATGGGAGTAGTCTATGAAGCTTATATATTGATACTTCTAACACCAATGTGGGATTGGTACTCTTTAATACATAGACCAAAAAATAACTGATCATTTTAATTTCCTAACTTTCCCTCGCGTAGTGTTTTTCCTGCTTTGTATTTTCAATATAAATTAAAAAGTTTACATGGAAACATCTTCATTTATGGTGAATTCAAATACTCGTTCCTTGAAGGAAGATGGAGGTTAAAGTTATAATTAGGCGTGATTGTTGTAATTATATTATCGTGTAAGCAAGTGTTGATGAACACAAAATTTCAAACAACAGAGGCGAAGTGAATGTTTAACCACTTTAAACTCTTACCTCTCCTAAACGAAATTGAATTCCTGAATCTCTGAAAGGCTAGGTCGACATGGGTTTTACTACCATGCTGAAATCACACCATCAGAAAAGTAATACTACTATTTTAACTAGTGGTTAAGACTGAAGGTGAGCATTTTTCATGTACATAGTTTGCGCACCATATAATGAGCCGAGCCAGCAGGAAGGTCTTGAGGATATGGATGATGAGGAGATGGTGGGATCCCGGGGTCCCAGGCATCTTTGATGTGGGTCACCTTTCTTTTATCTGTATCTATGAATATTATATCCTGGAATGTACAAGGGGCGGCCTCACCTGAACTTCAGAGGGCGTTCCTTAATTTGAAAAATCAATACCAGCCGGAGGTGGTAGCCGTGTTGGAGCCAAGGATTAGCGGTGATAATTAAAGCTGATGATTTTGTGAGACTTAGAGGCTTTAAACGCTCGTTTCGAGTGGAAGCAGTTGGCTTCTCTGGCGGGATATGGATATTATGGAAGGAGGAGGAAGCGTTGACTGTGCTCGAATGCGGGAGACAATATGTGCACGTCTCGATTAAGTTAGGGTTGCAAACAAAGTTTGTTAACATTTGTGTATGCAAACCCTAACCTGAGGAAATGGAAGTCCTTGTGGTGTGCGCTGGAGGATATAGCACGTAATATTCGGGATCCGTGGATTATCGGCGTCGATTTCGACTGCCTTTCACGGAATTCTGAGAAGCATCGGGGCTCGATGGTATACCACAATACGTGAGTTCATGCTTTCGGGATTTCATGTTTAACAATGAGTTGCTGGAACTTCGCACGGATGGAGCGCCGTTTACATGGCTGCGAAGTGGTGTGTCGGAGAAACTTGATCGCTTCATCGGGAACGAAGCTTGGATGAACCATTATCCAGATGGAATAGTGGAGTTGCTCCCCCCGTGATCAGTCGGATCATTCGCCTTTGATGGTTCGATGGGGTATCAAAAATCATGGGAGGGAGGGTTTTAAACCGTTCCGGTTTTTGGTGGCGTGGCTGACGCATGAAGGGTTCCGGAGTTGGTGAAAGAGGCATGGAGCCGGGGTGGGGATTGTGTATCTAGAGCTACCGATTTCACACGAGCAGCTCGGCGGTGGAACTCCCATGTATTTGGGAATATATTTCAGAGAAAAAAGCAACTATTGGCACGAATCCGATGTATCCAACGATCTCGGGTTTTCTATACTACTAACAAACTTGTTGTTCTTGAAAAACAGTTGCACCAGCAAAGCAACTCTCTGAGTCATCGATAAATCTACATCCACAAACAAATGATCATATATAAGCTCTTTTTTTGGTAAGATTAACAATGGACCACCATTTTCAATGTTTGATTCGAAATTGACCATAACAAATGAACGCCTGACAAAACCAAGTTTTTCCCAGTCAGCTTGGGGGCATGATTGGGTTTGGAGTGGTGCAATTTTCTCCGACCAAAAACAATGCAGGAATAATTCATTGTCTAGAAGCATTCATGACTTTGATGATTTTGGATCATCAAGACATTTTCTATCGAAAGGAAGTTAGTTTTGTGTTGACTTACCGGTCAAGGGGGGAAATTGTTATATGACCAAACGGTATTTTAGTTTCTAAGCCGAACCTCGGGAGGTAAAAGTAATTCGCCCCGAATCAGAAGTTAACAAAACACGTTATTTTTCCGAATCCATGTAAAAATTTGTTTTACAGTCAACGCTAATACGTCGGTCTACTTTGTCTTCTATACATAATAAGGAAATAATTCATTTATGTGTTGATTTTGTTTTGCGCCCACCATTGCATTTGCTGCACCCTATAGAGGAGTGTACAGTAGCTCTATTTGTGTAATTAGATACTCCAATAGTTCATTTTGTGAAGCCAAGGACAGTTATGATAAATAATCAACAATTCCCACCGACTGAACCAATCTACTCGTGTGTAGTTGGAAAACTTTAGAGATGACAAATTCAATAAAAAAGTTTAAAAAATAAAAAATAGAGGGAATGATATTACTGTATATAGTTATACTATCGCTGTAAAGCAAGCATTGATTAGTTTCATTTTATATACATAATGTGAAATTCCAAAAAGCTGACTGAATTCCACCGTAAATTGAATCCAGTATTTAAACATTCAGAATTAAATAATAATTTGTAACAAACAGGTTGTAAATCTACTGCAGCAAATTCATCAGTTGCTCTATTAAGACAGTAAATAGAATTTAAAAGTCCACAAAATCTCACAAAATCATAAAGACAATGACTGCAAAGTACAAAAAACTTTATTCCAGAAAGAAAATAGAAGTGACAAAATTATGATGTCAGCATCTTTCAATCACCCACAGTAAAGTGCCTTCATCCAAACTAATGAGCGGAAGATGCTCAAAGCACCATTATTGCATTTATAGCAATTGAAAGCCATTGCTTCGAGATAGATTCTCGCGACTTTCCTATATTTAATCTTTCGGTTACTTTCAATTTACCATGGTCCCAGAAACAACTACAATCAATGAGTGAACAATGTATTCATTACTACTAAAACATCAAGTAAATTAAGAGTTTACAGATTCAACTCAATAATGAACTGTACCACAACATTATCAGGAAACAAAAAATTATTAAGCCAAACATACTGGAAAAGGAACAGACTTCAACTCTCTTACTACGATGCCCTTGGGTTTTCCAGCTTTGACGCCCGAAAGTTTTCATACCATAGTGAGGGGCATGCACCAGTCCAGCCATGGTCTTCCTGGCCAACGAACCTAAAGCATAGGGCTGAAACAGCCACGAATAGAATGAACAAGCCACTGCAGCCACAGATCAAGAGATCACACAAGTAAAAGAACACCCAAGTAAAATTACACTCATTAGCAGCTATTGTCATTGAGACGGATTGAAGTCATGACCATAAACATATCCAAGAAATTATTGCGAAAGAAATGACATTGAGAAAAAATAAAACCGCAAAAAGGTGTATGATAATTTCCTCTCCTTTGTCAAAAACAAGAATAACAACAGCAGCAGCAGCAGCAACAACAACAGCAGCTATCATTTAAGTCCAACCCTTCATGTGGGGTTGGCTAGTAAGTAGTCGTGACCAAATAAAAAAAAAAGTTGCAAACCATCATGGTGTGATATCAAGCCCCACTATGCATTTCAGGCAAACTCCTTTAAGGTAATTGCTGCTGCTGTTCATAAATCTGCATGTATGTTTCGGAAAGTGCAACCATCTGAGGAAGTGTTTCTGAGACATGGAGATCTTGCATCTCATACCTAGGAGACCAACAACAATGATCAAAGTTGTGTCTTGCTATCAAAATAAACCAATGTTATCAACACTAGTTAGAACATCACCATAACTCCTCTGATTTTCGCTGTACAAACACACGGTATGACCCTTCACCTGGTTTGCCATCATGAACGATATTCGAAATCAAATCATACTTGGACCGTAGTTTTTCATTCTCTTTTGGCGCTGGAAGCGGAATGTAGTCCTTGAGCTCGAGATTCTTCACAGGAAAATTGACTGGGGGGAAATGAGAAAACTCAGTTATGAATGAAGACTGGAAACCAAATAGCCAGAGTCAATCCCTAGGGACGACGTTGAATCAAGAACATCCAAACGCACAAACTAGTGCATAAGGATAAAGCTTTATAGTACTATAAGCCGACAGAATAAACTTTTATGCAAAGGGGGAAACCCCTAGGGACCAGTAATAAACACAGTTCCAAAAGCCATAGCAAAACCACACACAAAACCAAAATGATCAGAAATCATACCCAGCGTAGGATTTTTTTCCACGAAGAAGTTATTCTTTGTAAACCGCTGCACATGAAGAATTAGGTATTTTGGCAGCTTAGTCACACGATACCTCATCCTGGCCATCTTAGGTCGCACAATTTCCGTCACTGTCTCACCATCAAATTTCTTTAGGATGTTGAAAAGGGGAACCTGAGAGAAATTTCAGTAAATAGGAGTGTGAACAGAATTCACATTTCAGGTTCATGAAAGACTAATTCGACTAAAACCCTTTCTTCAGCAAATTCTTTCAATCATCAACTCCTTAAGAAGCACATTGAATAACCAAAAAATAAAAGTCAAAGAGTATGTGAAAACCTGTGGAATAATATTTTTCTCCATAACGTCTTTGAACAGTGGGGGTGGTGGCAAGTCCAAACCAAGCATTAAGAATGGCATCCGCTCTGAATGAAGATGAGGCACCTCACTTCCGTTTTCTCCAGCATCTCCATTTTCTTTTCTTTCAATCATGGGCTGACTATTAATTTCCCTCACTACCTCCAGTTCTCCCTGTTAAGCATAAGATAGAATTTAAAACCATATCTCCCCTCAAAAAGAAAAGTATAAATTGAAGCAGAGAGAAAAGTAAACATAATGGTTTAATAAAAGTAACCTGAAAGCACTGGTGTATGATGCTGCTACTTTTCTTTGAAGTCCTAAGATCTGTATGTAAAGTATTAAGTAGCCATGACATAAACTCAACTGGGTCAGACTGTTGACCAATTCGAAACCGCTTTTTACTGGCTTTCATAACCGCCTGCAAGAACTCATGAGGACTAACCTGCAAAAATTCGTACATCAAAATATAACCCAAGGCTCATACCTTCACAAATATTGCACTTAACCGTACCTGTCCCTTGAAGTTTCTGGCATGCCAAATTTTTCGTGTAAGCTCTCCAAAGCGATGAACAAGCGGAGATTTGCTGTGCTGATAGTTTTCCGGGATAAGGAAAAAATTCCTCAGAGGAGTAACTCGCATTAAGGATTGAATAGTCACATTAACAAAATCAGTCTCCTTGATGTTATTTAGTCCCACCTGAAAAAGGTTCCAAAATGGGGGGAAAAGTATCAATGAAAGAACCAGAATATGACCTACTTAAAAAATGGGGAAAAGAAAGTTTTGAACAAACCATTCCGGGAAGATAATCTGATCCGTCAAGTGCCCTTGACCACTGCTTATTCTTGTCAAGCTGCTCAACTTGTTCCCTAGTAAACCTGTACCCCAATGGCACAAAAAAGAGCAGGTAGCACAGAGTTAGACAGCCATAGAGAAAGGAAAGTTAGAAAAACTTTTATGCGAAAAAGCGATGAGACAAAACCTTGGGTTAAGAACATGTCGTATATCATCCAGTGATGGGTCAATAATTTCGTAGCCATCAGGGAGGCAATAAACTTTCTCTGTCCGAAGATTAATGTATACATGGTGTCCGGCTTCCAGACTGTGAGTATATGCATGGGACTTTTGCCCCCTCCCTTGAAAGTACTTCCCACAAACCAAACATGCATAGACATTCAAATTGGAGAGGGAAACAGAGCAAAATTTTTCAAAGTCAAAATCCAAAACCTGCAAAGGTGCAATAACATTATTAATTGAAACAAAAAAGGCAGAAACGCAAGGACGCATATCAAAAGAAACACAGACAAGAGAACTATATTGGTCTAAAGACGTTTTAAATCAGTGGAAACAAAAATCTGATCTTTCCAAGTCCGGCAGGTCTGACATAAATCACAGAAATCGTTAGACTAGAACGAGCAAGCAAAACCAAAAAAACAAAAAAATAAAAAACAAAACCAATCACGATAATTGCGCCAAACCACAACGAAATCGCATGCCAATACAGTATCGTGAAACTTAACTTATCAGATCTATAAAGCAGGCCAAAACAAACACAATCAGCTTTATTCAGTCAAGCAAATCAATCTCTCAATTTCTGTCATACAGCAATGGTGCGGATTCAGATCGAAGGATTCTTTATTATCTAATGTTAAAGTTGCATCATTACAGCGAAAACCAGGAAAAATCTCAGCTCCCCTTTGATTATTAGCATACTATGCATTTCTAAGTTACAACAAACAAACAAATCAAATAACACAAAGCACAAACGGAAGAAATTACTATTAAAAAAGCCCTAAATTCTTATACCTGTCGATTAACGGTATCCAGATAAGGGCAATCCCGCCTCAAAATGATAGACTGATTACGGTTCCCGACATTGCCGTTTCCAAAATGCTCTTCCTCATCATCATTATCATCGTCAACCTGGTGGTTCATATTTTGAGGAACCACCACATTCACACCCTCAACCACCTCCTCGTCATCATCATCGTATGAGGCCAGTGGAAGTAATGCATTTTCTACAAATGAAGCCGGTGGTGGTGGTGCATCGCCGCCGTCTCCCACCTTCTGTCTCTTCGAGCTCGGATTCTCCTCCTCCATTGTTGCTTCGCAAAACGACCTTCAATACGATGGCGTACTACCGCTAACCCCCACGAACTATAAACCCTAGAACATGGATTTTGGAAACCCTATGAACTTTCGTATAGATTCAATCCGAATTCTCCAGCTAAATTTTGCTCAGATTGAATTGGAGCTCACTGACTTTTCTCGAATATAATAATAAGGATTTTTAAGGCTTGATTGATTGTGGTTACGTGTCACAACCGGAGATTATGCCGACCTAATCGGAGGTATTAACCGGAGATTTAGTAGAAGAGAGGGACTTAAAGTAGGGTTCTAAGGGGGAAGGGAATTGGGAACGACGCTTTTGAAATTATTCAATTCGTCCAAAACTATCCATTATCCCAATTACAGAGCACTGTTGACTTTATATAGTCTCACAGTTCTACAAAATACAAGTAAACCCCGCAACTACAGAATAAAGGCGATTGAACCCCTATTCCATGCAAGTTTGTCAGCAGAAACCTGAATTTCAAGGAAAGTAGAATGGATGGAGCATACCTGAAGTTTCAAAGAGAATCTATCTTGTCTCTTCTAGCTTTGTTGTGACTTCAACGGTAGAAAAAGAAATGATGGAAGGCGGGCAGGGGAGGAATGTCGTTGCAGCTGACGAAGACCTTTCAGTCACCTGCAGAGAAACAGAACTAGCTATCGGCAGTTATTCCAGCGTCATAATAGCTGATACTCTTACTATCCTAATAACTAGAAATGGTACTGGCAAGAAGCATATTGATAGTTACATGTAAACCCTTGAGGTGCGCATGAGAAATAGAATTTTGCAAGTTCTACTAACAAAAAGACATCTTATAAATACAAGAATATCTACTAAATTTCTGATGTTCATGATGTTAGATCTCTATAAAGCTTATTATTACTCATTAAGATTGATAGGATTATTTCTCTGACCATTAAACATGTGAAGTTATTAAAAAAGAATCAAGAATGAGGGCACAATATAAAGAGCAGTTAGTCAGCAAATGCAGTTATACAGCCAACTGATAATTCCCTTTTAATTACAATTAGTAGAACTATCAATTAAGCAAAATGAGTAAAAGGCACTTAATCGACGAACAAACAATATAATGCTTCTCAAATCCACTTTTCTATGGTAAAGTGGTGACAACTGTGACTTGTTGGTATAGGTGGAGAACTAAAGTAAAATTCAACTGAGTTTCATCAATTAGAGAATTCTGTATATATTAGAACATGATTCGATAGTTCATAAGCTTTGCAACACAAAGAAAAAAGATATACGAGTTGCATGTCCAATGATGGATGCATTATATATCAATAAACATTCTTGAACTTATTCACGAACAAAAGCAAAGGACCTTATTGCATATAAGTGGAATGAGAGGAAAAAGAAACTATGCCATGTGTTTGCATATATGCCTAATAAGGGTTTAAGGTTTGAAAATTACTTTTGCTATACTGAATTTAATGCTAGAGGTTTCTGCACATGATTGAGTAGAAACTCTTATATTAATAATTAAAGCATTAAGGTTTTCAGAACTAAAGGCATTGCTTCCATTCGTTTCAGCTTTCCATGTCTGAATGCGTATGATTTGATTTGTAATACCAATAATTTCCATCCTAATCTGAACAAGTTCGAGTAGGATTGCTACATTATTTTCTTATTTTGTTGTATAAAAAGATTACTTAGTCCCATATTTCAACATTTTTTGAATTTGTCTTAACGTTAGATAAAATAAAAAGAGGACAAGGAGAAAAGGCCATCCTGTTTTAGCAATGAAAAGAGTACATGCTGAAATTTGATAATTATAATTTGGGCATCCGATAAAAGACAAGGTTTTCAGTTTTCCAATGCCTTGGGCAGGGTTTTTGTTTATGGCCTTCATTTTGTCCTGAACCATTCTGATTGTGCTGATTATTTTAACCATTAGGTTTTTGAGGTCGCCCCCTCCTTGCACGTAGAGTTGCGTAAAACAGGCACTGACACTTTAGAGTTACACGAGGCAAATTTAGTCTTTTTCAATCTTTCTTAACCATAACAAGTTTAATCATTCTTTATTTACAAAAAAAGTTAGTCATTCTCTAAGGTTATTTTTTGGCTGAATATTATTCCCTTGGTGTGAAGAACAATATTATAAATCCTTCTCTTCAAAGGATATTGTGTAGACAACCGAGCAGAGTTCAGACAAGGCGAGTTGAAATGAGATGATGATGCCTGAGAACTGTTAATTGGCTTTTTGGGTTGCAATTTTGTAGCGTAACAACACCAAGGAGGTTAAAAGAAACCTTAACCCAGTAATATTTGGTCGTGAAAAGCATAGTGGGAAAAATTACATATCAAAATGTTTGATTGTATTTTCCCTGTAATTTGGCAAAGTTTCCTACTTTCCTTAATTAATAATCAAAGAAGAGGAGGAAGCCAATAGTTTATGGACCAAGCGCCAACCAATGTTGTTCTAATTTGTGGATTTGAATTCGACACCAATATATTGGATTTTGATTTCGCATTTACAATTCTTTGTGAATAACAAATTATTGTATTTTTGTTAATACTAGATACTAAACTCTCATTCAAAATAAATAATCAGCAAAATTCTTCCTTTTTCTCCTTTATCTAAAGGTCTTCAAATAACCCAGGTCCGACCGCATCTTCTGCGGTCACCCAATACCTGGGTTATTTGAGCACTCAATCTATGCAATATTTCTTTCATATGCTGTTGTAAATGATTGAAGCTCATCTTCATTTGTAGAATGACTGTTGTGAAAATCTTTTTTGTTCTAAAGGAGCAGATAATCCCGTTATATTTTTTATTTCACGTTTCTCAAGATCCCGTTATGTGTATCCGAGAATGGCCCCAAGACCCCTTCGCCTCAGCTTTAGATGTCCTCAATTGCAATTGGTATATATTGTACTCTTGATAGTTGTGTCGATCAGCTTTATTGGAATCGTCAACCGTGGCCCAAAGCTCTCCAACTTTCTTCGCCCTCTTTGGGATTGTTCACTGAGCCATTTTAGAAACTTCCTCATTAATATGCAGAGAATGTTTCTATGGGCCAACTATGTATGCTTCATGGATGGTCATTGCTTTCAGAACCACGCCGAGTGTTTTATGCCATAATATTCAGCAATGAGCTCGACATTCTTGAAATCAGGTGGCATGAACATCTTTCTTAATTTACTAAGTTTGTAAGTTTGGAGGCCCATACCACCTTCACTGGCATCCCAAAACCCCTATATTTTGCTACAAGTCGCAGTCGGTTTGATTTTGTTGAGGAAACGATTGTTCATGGTGTATTTCCTGGTCGTATTTTGACGTACGGGTCACATGAAGACCCTTTTAAACTTGAATCCAATCAATGCGTGGCTATGAATGAATTGCTGCGACGGGCAGGGATTTCTGCTAGTGATGTTCTCATTATGTCAGAAACAAATGAATCCCAAGTCCTCACAAAGTAAAACTACTGTAATGGTGTGATGGCGTGCCTCATGTCTTACATCTTGAGTTAAAGCACTACTTGTATTCTTTTGTGTTTCCAGTTGACATAGTAGTTGGCGTGCAACAGTCCACATTTATAGCCTCTGGACTCGGTATCGACATTCACGCCAAACTGATTTGATTCTCGCATATTTAGGATGGCATTGCAGCTTTTGCTTCCGCACTATGCAAGAGTTTGTTTTCAAAATGACTGCCTATAGTTATGCTGACCATGTTAAATATAATGATTTCCTAAAATACTCTTATGATCCAAAGATAATCTGTAGGGGAGATGATCTTTTTGACATGTTACCGGAGGAGTACTCTTTTCAGGAACTAATCAAGAAGATGGGACCAATTCCTGCTTCAGCATCCGCGGTTCATCATCCTTCATCCTTGGTAGAAAATGCCAAAAAATTTAAATTTCTTCTGCCTGGAGGTTGTAACCACTCAGCTGAGTGAATGTCATGTCGAGCATCACATGTACAGAGACAGTTTAGTGGCATACCATGGTCTTCTTTTACCGTTTAGGAAATGTTAAATGCTCTCCCTGTTTTAACGTTGCATTTCTAGGCAATCTTTTGCGCATTTTAAAGTTAAACTAGTGTATTTAATTTGTAACTTAGCGGTTGAAACAAGGAGGATTTTGTTCTATTTTCTGAAGAACAGATATATGAAAAACAAAGGTAATCTTTTTTTTTTTGCTTAGGCAGAATTAGAATCTTCACATTTTTTGGTGAATAACGATCCTTGCAATGCATGTTTACAGGGGAGGTAATTTGAACTTTCTGTTTTCCATAATCTTCTATTTGCCGGTCAAGATGCAATCTGAAATTGTTTCCAAATTCCACCAAAACATAGGTAATACCTCCTGACGAAGCATGGATCTACACGGTGCCTTAGGACGGGCAGTGATGATAATCTAGGCGGCGGCGGACGGCCTAAAACCTATAAGACAGAGCCTCGGGTGTCTCTCGAGAGTAGACTCTTTGATGCTTAAGTGAATATGGGAATAAAGAGAGTAGAAAGAGAAGGATGTATATTGTGTGTAAAAGGTGTAGAAGATATCAATTATGGGAGAGGCACCACCTCTTTATATAGAGGTGGTGTTACCTATTTCTGTAAACCTAGTCGGAATAGGTTTCGGCTATGACTTAGCCTTTAAGTTATCTAACCCTGGGCCCAATAGGCCTAGGGTTTAATTCTGACTCGTCAAGTGCCCCTAGCAAGCCATATTCTTGAGATTTGATGAGAAGAATATGAGTTACTACGAGTGTTGATGTCTTCTCGGGTTTCGTGGTGTTGCCCCAGTTCTCAAACTCTTTTGTTCTCGGGTGTCACCTATATAAGATAAAAAGAGTAGAATGCCTCGATGAGGTCTTATTGTTAGAGACTTCTTTGTTTGCGCGGTGGACCGCGAGTATCCTTGTTCGCGCGGTGGACCACGAGAATCCTTGTTTGCACAGTGGACCACGAGTATTTGGATCATCAAGATGCAATATATAATGTGATTATGTAATGAAAAATAAT